AGGACGGTCGTCATGCTTTCTAAATTTCTCCAGAATCGTCTCAACATAATGAGATTGAGATAAATCATATCCTTCTGATGTTCTAGTAATTTTTATTCCTAGAATTATATCTACTACTCCCAAATCTTTTATGTCAAACTTTTTGTTCAACATTTTGTTTGTAGATTTAATCATGTCATTATTGTTTCCAATAATGAGCATGTCATCCACATAAAGACAAACTATTACATAGCCTTTGTCTGTGCTTCTAACATAGATGCATTTGTTACATTCATTTATCTTAAAACCATCCGAGAGCATAACGTGATCAAACTTTTCATGCCATTGTTTCGGAGCTTGTTTTAATCCATGAAGGGATTTGACAAGTTTACAAACTTTTTTCTCTTGGCCAGGAATTTGAAACCCTTCCAGTTGTTCCATATAGATTTCCTCATCCAACTCACCATTTAAAAAGATTGTTTTAACATCTATTTGATGTATCTCCAGATTATACAATTCTGCAATGCGAATAGATGTTATTCTTGTCATTGGTGAATAGGTATTAAAATAATCAAGGCCTTTATTCTGTATGTATCCCTTAACAACAAGCCTAGCCTTGTATTTATCTGTTGAACCATCTGCTTTCATTTTTCTCTTGAATATCCACTTATATCCAACAGGTTTACATCCTGTTAGAAGATCTACCAGTTCCTAAGTATGATTTTGCAAAATAGATTCAATTTCACTATTCACAGCCTCTTTCCACAATGGAGCTTCAGGACTTGACACTGTTTCCTTGAAGTTTTGAGACTTATTTTCTAACAGGTATGTCAGAAAATCTAGACCAAATGATTTAGAGAGCCTAGCCATCTTGCTATGTTTAGGTTCATATGCTTCATTATCATTTTGGTCTTCACTACTACCCATAGTAGTATCAAAAGTTCTTTTATTTGAACTTGTCTCTTCAGTTTCCTTGCAAGGAAAAATGTGTTCAAAAAATGATGTATTCCTTGACTCAAAAATAGTGTTTACATGCATATCAAGATTTTCAGATCTATGAACTAAAAATCTGAATACACTACTATTATTTGCATAACCAATGAAGACACAATCAATGGTTTTTGGTCCTATCTTAGTTGTTTTAGGACTAGGGACTACCACTTTGGCCAAACACCTCCACACTTTGAGGTAACTGTAGGTAGGTCGTCGACCTTTCCATACTTCATAAGGTGTTTGATTGATTTTCTTGTGGGGTACCCTGTTAAGGATAAAGTTAGCAAACAAAATCGCCCCCCCACATGTTCTAAAGTAATCCTGAACTAATCAACATGGCATTCATCATCTCTTTAAGAGTTTGATTTTTTCTCTCAGCAACTCCATTTGACTGAGGAGAATAGGGTGCAGTGGTTTGGTGAATAACACCATGTTCGGAACAAAATTCCTCAAATGGTGCATCATGCACACCACTTATGTCACTCCTCACTACCTTAATAGTTTTGCCAAGTTGATTTTCAACCTCAAGTTTATATTGTTTAAAAACTTCTAAGGCTTCATCTTTATTTCTCAATAAGTAAACATAACAATATTGGGTGCAATCATCAATAAAAGTAATAAAGTACTTGTTACCTCCTCTAGTCTGAACAAATTTTAAATCACAGATATCTGTGTGAATTAAACTTAGAGGTTCAGTACTTTTTTCTATGTTATTAAATGATGCCTTAATAAGTTTTGCCTCAACACAAATCTCACATTTATAATTAGGATCAAACTCTAAGTTTGGCAAACATTCTAAAGAAACAAGTCTACACAAAGAATTAAAATTAACATGTCCTAATCTACCATGTCATAAAAAAGAAGACTCAGCAATATAAACAGAAGATATGTTCTTATTATTAACAGCCAAATTTGGTACAACAGTTAAAACATTGAGCTTAAAAAGCCCATCACTCATGTAACCTTACCCCACATACATTCCACTCTTGGAGAATATAACCTTGTCAGATTCAAAGACTAATCTAAACCCATTCCTGAACAACATTGACACAGAAATCAAATTCTTGCGAATTTCTAGCACATGGAGTACATTGTTAAGAGTGAGTACGAAGGCCTCTGAACAGAATAACAAAATATAAGGGGCTAGCGGAAGCAAATATATAAAATATAATGCCCATAGAGCTGTGCTGACGTACATAGGACAGAAAATGTAAAACTTTAATTACATAATTAAAGCGTCAAACCACGTCACTATCCAAGTACATATAGACAAAACGAAAGACATGTACAAACTTAACCAAAAAAAAAAAAAAAAAAGGATCTTTGACATGGTTCACAAAATTTGATTGCTTCTCAAAAGGGAACCTCCTCGGGAGGCACAGTGGCTGGCAGACCCAAAACTCTCCAGGCAGCAGCTTAGGCTTGGTCACGTGTCTGCTCATCTACATACATAAATAATACAGTGAGCTGGAGCCCAGTGAATAATAACAGAGTAAAGGGTTTAATGAATGATGTCCCATAGCAGATTCGAAAAGCAAAATTTGAATCAAAAACAGATTCATATTCTTATTTAGAGTTCAGAAGCATATACTTATTCAATTTCATAGATGATCATACGTGGTACACTCATTAGCGCTAACAGATCAAATACAGAGCATTAAGGGTCATACTTGACCAGTTCCATAAAGGAACCTCCGGTACCAGGAACAAATAACATACTTAAGCCACGGTATTGTTACACCCAGGCGAGGGCCATGATACCACGATATTATTACCCCTAGGCAAGGGTCTTGTGCTCATAGACCACAGTATTGTCACCCCCGGGCAAGAGCCATGTGCTAAGGTTGCCACGATTTCTTGTCAATATATCGACAATAATTCATTGATACAGAACATAACATTTCAGAAAACAGATCATTTATTGTCATATCATATAGGAAAATACTTAAACGTAAACATAGCTTTACAAAGTTATTACTCACAGATGGCTCCAATAGCAAAACAAATATAGTAGACGGATCAGGCGATATATGGCACGTGACCTACACAAACACAAAACAGATACATATTGAAACACACACCTGAAATTTCTTTAACTTAGTTCTTTCTTATCTTGGTGTGTTTCTAATCCTTATCCTCATTACTATGTCTTAATCATGGCCTACGAATGCCTAGAATACAATAAGAATGCCAAAATATGCTTTAGAACACTTAGTCAAAAATTTAAAAACAGAACACCTCGCTCAAGCGTTACTTCTTACGCACGAGCGAGCCCTTAGGTCTACAAAAGTACTGGTCGCATGAATTTTCCGCTCAATGGTCGCTCGACGGTTGCTCAAACGGAAGATTGAATAAATACGGTCCTCGCTCGAGCGCAACTCTTGTCGCTCGAGCGGTTTACAAAACTTCTAGGAGCATGAATTTTACGCTCGAGCCAACTTTGGGTCACTCGAGCGAAAATACAAAACCAAGTGTGGTCGCTCAAGCGGTGAAACAGAATTCTAGAATTTCTAGATTGTACTCCCAAGTCTAAAACTCAAATTCAAAGTTTCAAAACAGGTTCTTTTGAGCCAAAAGCTTAAGAAAACATGTGTAAACTTGTAAGACATGGTGAATTCAAAATCATTTCGCAAAATCAAAGCCGAAAAACATGCCAATTATTCAAAATTCAACCTGAAACTTCCAAAACATAACATGCATGACTTGTCATGAACTCAAACCTTCCAAAACATGAATAGGGTAAGATAATGAGAAACTTGATAAATTCTTAAAACTAAGCCAAGATAGACACATGCATATGAGATTTGTTTGAAATTTAAACTCAAAATGTGATGAAAATGCATGCATGTATGAATCATGCTCAATTCTATCATCTAAGCTTAATTCTTATATTTAATCTTTCAATTCTCTTGAATTCATCCTCTTATTGATTCAAACACTTAATTTATGGGTTGAATTCTTACCTTAAGCTTGAGTTCACACGTGTGGAAGCTTAATTCTCTTAAGTCTTCTTCAATTCCCTCAAAGTCTCTCCAATTCTCCTATGTTTCTTTGATCTCAACCCTCTTTTATGTTTTTCCCTCTCTCTCACGTTTGTAGGCTCAAAATGATGAAGAGGAGATGACTCAAAGTGGTGCATAAGCCTTAGATAGGCTTGATTAGGAAATTTAATTAATTAGGCTTACCACTAATCAATTGAGCATTATTTATTTTAATTATTTCGTTCCGAATCGAATTTCAATTAAACCTACCATAATTTTCTAAAAAACCAAAATAACACATTTATCATGTCAATTTCATAACCAGATGCCGATAATGCCTTCAATTCGCAGAACAGAACATAAATACAAGCAGATATTTCTACGACAAACAAATATAAACACAATTAATGCAACACACATGCAATTAATTCAAAATTTCTTTTTAATTACTTATTAGGCATCCTTAATCATGGTTTAACAGTTAATCACAGGTCGGGGTTGTTACACGAGGTCATTTTCAACATAATCTTTCCTTGTCCTTCCACAGTTGATGTAGAGGAGTTTCCCATAAAAAGTTGTTGTCCACTTTCCACCACTTTGTAGGTTGTAAACATCTTCTTATTTGCACAGATATGGCAGGTTGCTTCAGTAACCACCCACCATTCCTTGGGATTGCCCATCAAATTAGCCTCAGAGACTATTGCAACAAGATTGATCAAATAAAGATTCATATTCATAACAATTTTAAAAGTAGTTTAAGTGAGCATATATAATCCATTAGCCTCACAATTTTGATATAATTTTACTAACCTCCCTTGAAGTTTTTAATTTGTAGTTAGGTCATTTTTTATCAACAATTCGTTAGTTGTATAAATAAAGAAAATTATTGTCTTCTCTTCTCTACTAAAATATGTATATATTTTTATTTATTTTAGTGTCTACCTGTTATCTGCATCACTTTAACCTTTACTAGAAGGGAGATTAGTATAATTATGTCAAAACTATAAAATTAATTGTATTATTTTCAAATCTCAAGAGAAGAACAAATTAAATAAAATACCAATTGAGACTATTGTGTGACAAAAGACATTAATAACAATAATTTACATAACAAGGAAGGGGGGTTTTCCTTTGAATTGGGATGAGACATTTGTCCTACGTGGCAATGTGGACCAGACATATGTCCTTCTAGCCCCTTCTTGTTCCGCTCCCTATCAAATAACAAGTGTTATGGTTACATTGAAGCAGAGTTGCTATGCTTTGATCGGCCCTCTTATCCTTTTTTGCACCCAAAAAAACAAAAGGTGAAATATAAAATGCACTTGGCCTTTAGTTTCTAGCCATTCTCTGTTTGTATGCTTGGGATGTGCCCTTTTAGGCTGCCGTCAACACAAACAATGTAGTACTTGAAGCACACTTATTTTCACCATTGGCAAACCTTGCCTATGGTGCAAATGCAGAGACTATTGGACTTCTTACCACATGAGTCCCATTAACCTCATACCAGCCTAAGTACCCATAAGTCCCATTGTACTCATTCCATGACCTAACTCCCAAATCAATTTCAACTGTCAAGTTGAACTCAGCCTTACTGTATTTCCCCGTGAAGGAGATTGTTGACGGCTGCACAATAATTTTCGTACCCATTGGAGCCGTCACCTCTGCTAGATACACCAAATGTGAATCGACCATATTAGTCAGCACCCTCTTAAAGGTGTAACTTGTAATATCAGTGGTGTTCAAGATGACGATAAATGAAGGATAGTTAAGATCCAAACTAGCATTTTCACAGTCGAAATCTGACCTCCTTGTTATAATCTGAATCTGTTGCGCTGTATAGTTCATTCCACAGAGGAAATCGATGTAGTCTTGGACCTCCATGTCATACACAAGTCCAGGGTCCATGGCCTTGTTAGGGTTCACATGTCCTGCCCCAAAATCAAGAGGAGTCCCTGCAGCTCCTGTGGCTATGTCAATGATTGTGCCATTCAAATCATCAAACACATCTGCAGTAGTCATCATAGAAGATCGAATAGCAGCTGAGCTCCAATCCCGGTGAGCTGCTTTCAACAGTGCAGCTATGCCAACTATGTGGGGAGACGCCATGGAAGTGCCAGACACAATTACATAGTCTGAGAGTAATGAACTGCCGTGAATATACGCACTCAACCTGTTGGGTACCCATCCAGCCAAAATCTTGTATCCAGGTGCCAGTATATCAGGTCTAAGTACCCATGGAGCCTCTGAACCCGGCCCTCTTGACGAAAAGCTCGTAACTTGAGGAGCCGGCTTGACACCTAGTAATGTTATCTGGAATTTGATACTCACAGTTGGGTTTTCAAATCCAACTATATAATCCTTCATTAATTCTCCATCTTTAAGGCTCACAACCACAAATGGAGTACCGGAAGAAAAAATCTCGACAGAGTTTGAACTTACGATAGCTCCAGCAGCTCCTGATCTGTTCAATTCTTTCCACTGCAGAATCTGCGGATTCATTGATGTTTCGTTGTCAAAATCGCAAAAGATATACTTTCCTGCAACATCTTTAGGGTCTAAGGCACCAAACTGACAAATTTCTTTGCTTTTATTTCCATGTCCAAAGTATAAAGGGACTTTGGAGACTAATAGGAGATGCCGATAAGGCCTTCAATTCGCATAACAGAACATAAATACAAGCAGATATTTCTACGACAAACAAATATAAACACAATTAATGCAACACACATGCAATTAATTCAAAATTTCTTCTTAATTATTTATTAGGCATCCTTAATCATGGTTTAACAGTTAATCACAGGTCGGGGTTGTTACACGAGGTCATTTTCAACATAATCTTTCCTTGTCCTTCCACAGTTGATGTAGAGGAGTTTCCCATAAAAAATTGTTCTCCACTTTCCACCACTTTGTAGGTTGTGAACATCTTCTTATTTGCACAGATATGGCGGGTTGCTTCAGTAACCACCCACCATTCCTTGGGATTGCCCATCAAATTAGCCTCAGAGACTATTGCAACAAGATTGATCAAATAAAGATTCATATTCATAACAATTTTAAAAGTAGTTTAAGTGAGCATATATAATCCATTAGCCTCACACTTTTGATATAATTATACTAACCTCCCTTGAAGTTTTATATTGCAGTTAGGTCATTTTTTATCAATAATTCGTTAGTTGTATAAATAAAGAAAATTATTGTCTTCTCTTTTCTACTAAAATATGTATATATTTTTATTTATTTCAGTGTCTACCTGTTATCTGCATCACTTTAACCTTTACTAGAAGGGAGATTAGTATAATTATGTCAAAACTATAAAATTAATTGTATTATTTTCAAATCTCAAGAGAAGAACAAATTAAATAAAATACCAATTGAGACTATTGTGTGACAAAAGACATTAATAACAATAATTTATATAACAAGGAAGGGGGTTTTCCTTTGAATTGGGATGAGACATTTGTCCTACGTGGCAATGTGGACCAGACATATGTCCTTCTAGACCCTTCTTGTTCCGCTCCCTATCAAATAACAAGTGTTATGGTTACATTGAAGCAGAGTTGCTATGCTTTGATCGGCCCTCTTATCCTTTTTTGCACCCAAAAAAACAAAAGGTGAAATATAAAATGCACTTGGCCTTTAGTTTCTAGCCATTCTCTGTTTGTATGCTTGGGATGTGCCCTTTTAGGCTGCCGTCAACACAAACAATGTAGTACTTGAAGCACACTTATTTTCACCATTGGCAAACCTTGCCTATGGTGCAAATGCAGAGACTATTGGACTTCTTACCACATGAGTCCCATTAACCTCATACCAGCCTAAGTACCCATAAGTCCCATTGTACTCATTCCATGACCTAACTCCCAAATCAATTTCAACTGTCAAGTTGAACTCAGCCTTACTGTATTTCCCCGTGAAGGAGATTGTTGACGGCTGCACAATAATTTTCGTACCCATTGGAGCCGTCACCTCTGCTAGATACACCGAATGTGAATCGACCATATTAGTCAGCACCCTCTTAAAGGTGTAACTTGTAATATCAGTGGTGTTCAAGATGACGATAAATGAAGGATAGTTAAGATCCAAACTAGCATTTTCACAGTCGAAATCTGACCTCCTTGTTATAATCTGAATCTGTTGCGCTGTATAGTTCATTCCACAGAGGAAATCGATGTAGTCTTGGACCTCCATGTCATACACAAGTCCAGGGTCCATGGCCTTGTTAGGGTTCACATGTCCTGCCCCAAAATCAAGAGGAGTCCCTGCAGCTCCTGTTGCTATGTCAATGATTGTGCCATTCAAATTATCAAACACATCTGTAGTAGTCATCATAGAAGATCGAATAGCAGCTGAGCTCCAATCCCGGTGGGCTGCTTTCAACAGTGCAGCTATGCCAACTATGTGGGGAGACGCCATGGAAGTGCCAGACACAATTACATAGTCTGAGAGTAATGAACTGCCGTGAATATACGCACTCAACCTGTTGGGTACCCATCCAGCCAAAATCTTGTATCCAGGTGCCAGTATATCAGGTCTAAGTACCCATGGAGCCTCTGAACCCGGCCCTCTTGACGAAAAGCTCGTAACTTGAGGAGCCGGCTTGACACCTAGTAATGTTATCTGGAATTTGATACTCACAGTTGGTATATTAATATGTTAACAGCCCCTCGCAAACTCAAGGAGGAGCAACCAACTGGAGTTTGGAGACAAGTTCAATGAAGCGGCCAGGAGAATGAGCTTTGGTGAAGATATCAGCAGGTTGATCAGTAGAGGAGATTGGATGGAGATGGACAGTACCATGAGTGACGTGTTGACGAATAAAATGACAGTCAATCTCAATGTGCTTGGTGCGATCATGAAAAACATCATTGTGAGCTATTTGAAGAGCACTGTGATTGTCACAAAAGAGGGTGGTAGCACCAGAGGGGGAAACACCCAAGTCAGCAAGAAGCCAACGAAGCCAGAGAAGCTCCTGAGTAGTATCAGCAGAGGGGGAAACACCCAAGTCAGCAAGAAGCCAACGAAGCCAGAGCAGCTCCTGAGTAGTATTAGCAAGAGCACGATATTCGGCCTCGGTAATGGAGCGAGCAGTAAGAGATTGTTTCTTGCTGCACCAAGAAATAAGAGAATCACCCAAGAAAAAGCAGAACCCGGTAGTAGAGCGTCGGTCAGTAGGGTCCCCAGCCCAATCAGCATCGAAAAAAGCACGAAGCTGGAGAGAGGACCGGGCGGAATAATGAAGTCCATGAAACAAAGTACCTTTGAGATAGCGAAGGATACGGACTAATGCAGCATAGTGAGGGGTACGAGGAGCTGACATAAACTGGCTGACAATATGAACGGCATAGGCAATATCAGGACGAGTAACAGTGAGATAGACAAGGCTGCCAACCAGCTGATGATATAAGGTAGCATCAGAGAGAAGAGTGCCATCAAGAGGTGTAAGACGACTTTGAGGCTCCAGAGGAGTGGAGACAGTTTTGCAATCCGTAAGACCAGCGCGGGTGAGAAGATCAGAGGTATACTTAGCCTGAGAGAGAAAAGACCCCGTGGAATCATGGAAGATTTCAAGACCCAAGAAATAGCTGAGAGGACCAAGATCTTTCATCTCGAAATGATGCCTAAGAAACTGTTTAAGGCAGAAAATACCATCAAGATCGTCACCGGTGATAATCATATCATCCACATAAAGGAGAAGCAAGGTGGTCCCTTGAGCAGTGTTGCGGATAAAAAGAGCAGTATCATAAGAACTGGAGGTGAAACCACAGTCATGAATAGTGGAGCTGAACTTGGCAAACCAAGCGCGCGGAGCTTGTTTGAGACCATACAGAGCACGCTGAAGTTTGCAAACTTTATGAGGGGGATAAGTAGACCCAGGGGGAGGTTGCATGTAGACCTCCTCAAGAAGAACACCATTAAGGAAAGCATTTTTCACGTCCATTTGATAAAGATCCCAGTGTCGGGAGGTAGCAACCGCAATCAGGCTGCGAACAGAGGTGAGACGAGCAACAAGAGCAAACGTCTCTTCATAGTCAATACCATATTCTTGGTTGAAGCCTTTGGCAACAAGGCGGGCTTTGTAGCGCTCAATAGATCCATCAGAACAAGTTTTGATTTTGTAGACCCATTTGCAACCAATGGCAGTCTTGCCAGGAGGAAGATCAACAATGTCCCAAGTGTGAGTTTTGTCTAAAGCCTGCAATTCATCAGTCATAGCTTGCTGCCAAAGAGGATTAGAGCGAGCCTCACGATAAGAGGTTGGTTCATAAGTAGAAAAAGCAGTAGAACCAACAATAAAGTCACGAAGACGAGTAGAAGGTTGGGTTACCCGGCGTGGTCGAGCAGAAGGAGGAGGAGCCAGAGGAAGAGACTCACCAGGAGGGGAGGATCCCGAGGGAGCAAGAGCAGGACCATCAGAAGGAGCAAGTGCATGGGACAGACCAGTAGGCAAGGCAGGCTCGAGAGAGGCTGGTAGGTCTGTGCACAATAGGATCTGGACACCAACCAACATTGTTAGTGAAAGAGAATTGAGAGAGAACTTTATGTTATTAACACTCTAATCAGAAACCAAATGGAGGCTCCATAATATAGGAGCTGGATACAAAACATCATTATGTTATAAATCACTAAAATAAGAAAAAGCACACCGAAAGGAGGTGGGCGGCCGAAAGCAGGGACAAGCCGAAAGCTAAAGTTGTTATATACATTATAATATATTCCTATTATATACATAGTAACATATTATATTACATACTATAAGATTATATTAATAAGTATATGAATATGTTAACAGTTAGTAATAACATATGAAGCATTATCCATGCTTTTACCAGCATTAGTCCCAAGCAATTTATCATGAAGTTGTTTTTTGGAAGGTAAATCCAGATGGTCAATCCACTCAATTGTTTGAATCGGATGCTCAAACTCATCCTGAAAAACCACTTTGTTCTTATGAATCCATATGCCCCATAGTACCTTAACGGCTTCCACTATAGCTTGGTCATCTGGTGCAATTCTGAACCAGAATTCAATCCATTCTTGAACAGACAATCTTTGCCCTGAATCAAAATCCAAATCCAACCAAGATCCCTTCCAAATGTGCTTTGGCAAAGTGACACTGAAAACAGAAATGTTCCATTGATTCTTCTTGCTCCAAACATTTTGGGCATCGAAGATCAACTCTAATTCCTCGACTTATAAGCGCGGATTTGACAGGAAAAATTTTTATGAATAAACTTCCATAGAAATAGAGGCCATTTTGCAGGAAATTGAAGGTTCCATATTTTCTTCCAACACCAACAACTTAACCCCAGACCATGTATTTCAGAGTCTCCCCTATCCATTGCCATAAAATATCCTGACTTCACAGAGTATCTGACATCTTCGCAGCCTTTCCACACCACTCTATCTGATTCCTCTACCATAAACAAGTGAATATTCTGAATATGCTTAGCCATATCACTCGGGAAGAGAGTATTAATTAACGGTTCCCTCCAAGCCCTCTTATTGCTATCAATTAAATGAGATACTCTAAAAGAAGAACAATTTTTGTGGACTAAACCAACAATAGTGTAGAACTGAGATCAGCATACTGAGTTGAGTACAGTGTGTGTGGGCCCAAAAACACTTCATTGTGAGATCTGTTTGATCTCATCTGGACTAATTTCAGATGGGTTTTCCACAAGATCAAAATTTTATCCTCTTGTCCGGGTGCACCGCCTTTAAGTGATGATAAATCAAGTATAAACCTGCTCAATCCCAAAACATCAAATCATGATTAGTGCCCAAGTCATTACAGCACATGCAATTTGCAGGCATTGGTTTAAACGGAGTCCCAGAACGGTGAGAGTGGCTGCGAGAAAAATTCCCGGGGGAAGGACCAGGGCGAGAGGCACGGGCAGGATTGCGGAAGCAATCTTGTTGAAGATGACCAGGGCCAGTTTTGTTGCAAAACCGACAAAGACGAACTGGACAATTAACCAGAAGATGAGTCGATGGAAGATTGCGGTTGTGACAGTAATTGCAGGCATTGGACCTCTGTGG